AGAACACTTGGATCACTTAAACCATAACACCCACATCCGAAAAGGGCCAAATTCTTTCTTCACCAAAGCCCTAAGCCTCATGACAACTGATGATTGGGCCGCAGCCCCGAAAAGTGAAGCAAATCCAAAACCGAGTGTTATATTTGGGTAGGCGTCACGATGTGGCAAGGGAATGGCCACAACGTGGCGAGCGCTGCAGCCCAAGCCCATTGATTTTTAGGGGTTTCTCCATATTTAAGCACCTTAACTTCAAGTTAGGGCATTCTTTTCAGCCTCCGAGCTCTCCATTTCAAAAACCCTAGCCCCTTCAAGTGTTCTTCTTGTTCTTGGCCATTTGAAGGCTCATTTTCTCATATTTTGGTATGGAGCTTGAAGACCAAGTTTCTTGCAAAGTGTTTTGGGGAAGAGCTCAAGTGTAGATCTAGCAAAAAGAACTTCATTGATGGACCATTGTGAGTAAAACTTCCATCTTCATCTTTAGTTTGCTAGATCTTGTAGTTTGATCATGTATATCTCTTTTTGGTTCTTGTGAGCTTGTGCTTTGGAGTTGAGTGAACTCCAGAACCCCTTGAGCTTATTTTATCATCTCATAATCTTGTTGGATTGGAAAACTTTGCATCTTGATCTTGTTCTTGAAGCCATGCATGTTTTGAGGAAGGTTTTATGCTATTAAGGACTTAGGGTTGTAGATCTAGCTTTGAGATGGAGTCCTAATGGATAAATTTGGAAACTTTATCCATGAAGTCAGTAAAAAGAACTAGATCTGAAATTATGGGCCATGATATGAACGAATTTAGCACTTAATGGAGATTTTGGCATTCTTCCAAAAGCCACAACGAGGCCTGGGGTTTGCCATGACGTGGCAGTGCTTGAAATCGCGACTATTTTGTCCTGTCATTGCCACGATGCGGCCAAGGAGGGCCCACGACGTGGCAATGTCCTGCATGTTGGTTATTTGACCTTATGTTCCCACAATTGGCCAAGGAGGCCCCACAATGTGGTGTTTTCTTTATGGACCTTTGACCGTTGACTTTTGACAAGTTTGATTTGGGGTCAAACTTGGAGGATTTGGGTTGTTATTTGAGGAATCATTTCTTTTGGTGATTAGTCGGCTCGCGGGATTGATCAGTGCAAGGTGTGGGAGTGTTGATGTGCTTCTTCGGTTCATCGGTTCAGGTGAGTTCTCACTATGACACGTATCTCACTGTATATCCTTTGCATGGTAGGATAGATTACTGTTAAAGTACAAGTATGTTAGTGGTCTAGGGAAGGTCCTTATTAGGCCTTGCATTTTAGAGCACTCAGTGATTTTGTATGCTAGACTAGTAGGGTTTTGACTATTGACCGTATGATTATGTTGGATGTATCTTTGTTAGGGTAACTAGGGAAGGCTAGTTGCCAAGGGTATGTAATATGTATGTTATGCATGTGCTTATGTTATATGCTTATGTGATAGTGATAGTTTAGGTCATATGTTGTCTAAGTTGGATAGCCTGAGAACTCGTAGTCTAATGCTTTATTGTGATGTTCTTGTCTGATTGTCTATCTGACCCCTGGCTACATACGACTTTATGTCTTGTATGGAAGACTAGGAGGTGGCTCCTGGCAATGGAGGTTGGGCGGGGCCCGTTATGTACGGCTGGGCGAGGCCTGTTATGATGGACGGGGCCCGTTATGTATAAGTTGGATGGGGCCCCTTATGTATGGTTGGGTGGGGACCGTTATGTGAGTTGGGGTGGGCCCGTGAACTCTTGGTTTGGGCCCGTTGCATATGATACATGTATATGGTTAGGAGATTTGGTTGTTCGGCGTAGAGCCGAGATCATGTAAGGATGCATTGTATGTATAATGGAATATATGATATATTGGGAAACTCACTAAGCTTTATGCTTACAGTTGTGGATTAAACATTTTGCAAGTTGTTCGTGAGAAGAGCTCGACGGGACTATACACATGCATTGAAGATATTCGTGTCCATAGTTTTGCAAACCTAACTCTGATAACGTATAGTTTCAAACAAACAGATGTTACTCGGTGGATTTGAAACAAAGGTTTTAACTGGCTATTATATTTTAAATTGAAAAATCTCCTCGTAATTTTTCGCAATTTTTGGAGTGTTACGTATTATGGGTGAATTTGAAATATTTTAAAAAAACTTTGGAAAAACTATTTTAAGAAGATTTTTGAAAACTAGCTTATACTTTTTTGTTTTGCCAACAAAATCAGAAGCTAAGATGCTAACAAATATACTTAAGGTGTTTTAATTTTGTGTCAAAAATATAAATAACAAAAATTACATGAGGATGTACAAAATCAAAATTATGTCAAGTTTCAGACATTTATGGTAAAAATAAATCAACTTTATTAAAGTTAATGTCAACAAAACATTTTCCATTACTAAATTAAAAAATACACAAATCAAAATAGCTAGGGATACTAAGTCTATGTTTGTTATACTAGCTGAAAAGCTAACTGTTAACTGAAAAAGTAACTGTTAAATAAAAAACTAACTGATAAAAAATGATGTTTGATAAAACTAGCTGAAAAACAAGCTGAAATATATAAAAATTACATAAAAAGGCATTAAAAAAGCTACATTAAATTACAAACTTATAAACTACTTTCTAACTTGCCAAAAACGAAAAAAAAAATACTCAGAAAATAAGTTATCTTATCAACTAGTTGTGACTCGACAAACACAACCTCACACCATGTTAGAACAGTAAACTAACACCACTAGTAATATATGTTAGAATAGTAAAAATTAACAAAAAGGCACGAATCAAAATCAAGTAATATATGTTAGAATAGTAAACTAACACCATGCTAAGACTATGGGAGTGGTGCGGTTTCTACCGCACAGTTTGCCACATAGGCAGGGGAACACCACTCCTTATGCGGTTTCGAGTGCGTTAGGCCGCACCTCACCTCTTTTTGGCCGCGTTTTTTGATTGGGTAATGTATATTTGACTGTTGAACGGTCAAAACTGTTAACATTTATTTATTTTTTCTTTCGTATAAATTAAACCATTCACTTCATTTATTCAAACCAAAACCAAACTTTTACATTTCTCTATTACTTTCTCTCTCAAAATTATTAGAAAATGTCATCTTCTTCATCTTCTGAAGAATTTCAAGTTATTTTTTATGCTGCTATTGTTTGTGCTCAAATGGCGGAACAAACGTATGATGTTTTATGCAATAACATAGCCGAAAGTTCTCAACGGAGAACACGGAGATATATTTGCAGAAATCGTGAAGTAGCCAACTAACGTTTGATACAATATTACTTTCAAGAGAATGTCACTTATCAAGGGTACTATTTCTGGAGGCGCTTCAGAATGTTCAAACGTTTATACGAATGTGTAATTGAAGATGTAACGAGGGAGTGCAGTTTTTTCCAACAACGTTCCGATGCTAGAGGTACACCAGGTTTCACTTCCTTACAATAATGCACTGCTGCACTTCGTCAGTGAGCATATGTCATTACGCCTGATGCGTTGGACGAGAGTATTAAGATGTCTGCTACGACTGCACGAGATAGTCTCCACTATTTTTGCAAAACTGTGATTTAGTTTTATGGTCCAAAATATTTACGTAACCCTACACGTAATAACATCTTACAATTGCAAGCTCATCATGCTAGTGTGCATGGGTTTCCTGGAATGCTAGGAAGTTTAGATTGTCTCCATTGGGCATGGGAAAATTGCCCTACCTCACACCATGGACAATTTACTCGATGTGATCAATGGTCACCCAACGGTCATACTTGAAGCAGTTGCATCACATGATCATTGGATTTGGCATGCTTTTTTTGGTTCTCCCGGTTCGATTAACGACATCAACGTTCTTAATTGTTTACCTATATTTAACAACATATATAACAGATCTGCACCAGATTCATCTTTTGAAGTGCATGGAACGCCATATAAATATGGTTATTATCTTGTTGATGGAATCTATCATGAGTATGATCTGTTTGTTAAATCGTTTACGTGTCCACATGGTTCTAGACGAAAAAAAATCAAGAGGGCTCAAAAAAGAGCTAGGAAGGATGTCGAGCGTGCTTTTGGAGCTCTTAAGAAACGTTGGTTCATACTGAAAAAACCAACAATTTATTTCGGCGAGGAAAAACTTCAAGAAATCATGTATACATGTCTCATATTGCATAACATGATTATTGAAGACGAATGAAGAGCGATATGTGCGTTTGACGAGGAAAACCATACCCGAATCACAACAAATAGAAATTGGTGGCGAAGAGTATATGAACAGGAGAACAAATACACGTTGCACTGAAACATTTCACAATCTTCGCACGGACTTGGTGCAACACATTTACGGGATTCAACATATTAACCTTAATTTGGATCCACCGGATGACTCAGAAGACGAGTTCTCGGAAAACAACTTTACGTAATATGTTTTGGTTATTTTAATTTTATTTTTTTAGTTATTTTAATTGTTTAATGTTTGTAGGATATTTTTAATGTTTTGTTTTTTTTATTTTAAATTTAGTAATGTAATGTTTTTTTTATTTTGAAGTATTGAAAAGTTATGTTTTTTTATTAAAAATGAAGTTTTACTTAATTAAATTATTAAAAAATAAAAAAATAATGTGGCACACACCTAAAAAATGATATGGCGTACATATGACAATGAAAGGAATACGGTTTCAAAAATGATATGGCGTACAAACAATTAAAGAAATGGCATCTCTCACTCTCACTCTCTGCAGCCTAAGGATACCATCTTTGCTGAGAATCAAAGCAATTCAATAAAAAAAAATACTAATATCTACAAACTATAACATCAAATCGTTGTTTTGATATTTTAGCCATATTTTATCCCAATCTTCCTCTATTTTATGTTTCATTCTTAGTGTACAGTATCGGACCATGGAAATCACAAATTACATTTTCTTATGGTTTTAGCATTATTTCATTTTCTTAGTTTCGATTTGGAGGTATATATCTATTTCATCTATACCAAGAAGGATTATCTATTTCAAACAAACCAGAGCTAAATTCAAGATATAAAATTCAAAGAAAAAACCTACAAAAGATTTCATCTCTGAAGACAGATGATAAAAGAAAAAATTGGACAAAATTCTTAACGAGTACCCAGTAAAACAGGCTAAAACACCACAATAAAACAGATAAGTTTTCTCTTTTAACTAAAGCATAATAATGAAAAAGTTCTAATCAAACAAGCTGAATCCCATATCATCATCACTCTCTTCCTTTGGCTCTTCCTGTGTACATTGAATCAAAGAAAACATGGATATTACATTACATATAAACAAAAAAATATTAAAGAAAAAAAATTAAAATATGCAATTTACCTTCTTTTCTTCTGCAGCAGGAGCAGCAGCAGCTGCACCTCCAGCAGCAGGAGCAGCTACCGCTGGTGCAGCACCACCACTGCCGCCGCCACCAGCACCAACATTTGAAATGAGGTCCAAAATATTTTGCTTCTCTGCAAGCTTAGCAAACAAAGCTGGCCAGTAGGATTCAGCATGGACATTAGCTGCCTTCAAAAGGGTACTGATCTTTTCAGCCTGCAGTCAACAATTCACGTCAATTAATCTGTGCAATTCACTGTTTCAAGGATACAAGAGAAAGTATAAAACTACAGGAACGAAGTCACAAATCAAAATGTAAGCACGATTAAGAAAATTTAGTAAATAATATTTACATCTTTGGAGCAATGAATCATGAAAATAGACAAAAAGAACGTAAATCGATAATAATCATACATATCTACATAACTTGAAGCAGTAGAAATTACTAACCGTGACAGGAATGTTATCGTCGCAAAGAATCAAAGAGGCGTAAGTGCAACCAAGCTCTCCGATCGACATCTTTTGTCTGGGAAAAAAACAAAAGAAAACCAAATTCTTATGAACAAATCAATACAACGATTATAAACGGTAATCCAAAGCACAGAGGCAACGAGAACACATCACGATTCATGAAGATAAAAGATGTTAACCTAAAAACCAACAAATTAAGGATAAAGGCAACGCACCTGAAGTGAAGATCGAGTTTTCTCTGCAGCGTGTAAACCCTAGGGAGTTGAGAAATCTGCCGTCTGTGGTCTGTTGAGTTGATTGTAAAGGAAAACCCTAGTGGACTAGGGTTGTTGTAAAGGAAGAATGGACCAGGGTACCAGTCCCACGTAATTGCAACTGGGCGATTGTATTTTGGGTAGGCCCATTTAATCAAAGTGGGCTAATGTTCGTAGAATCATCAAGTCTCACTAGCCCATGGGGTGCAACAAAGAACCTCTTCTCGTTAAGTGTCCGGTAAAAATCCATCTACCGACAGCGAAATGGTATTATTTTGTTAAAAATGACTCGTCAAATATAATAGGTTATATTATTCGTTATTTTATTATTTTTTGGGGTTTCTCATAGAGTATTTTAACACCAAATTTATGATATTAATGGTATGTTTGGCGTATCTAGCTGAAAAACTACCTGTTAAATAAGAAGCTAGCTTATAAAAAATGACATTTGGTAAAACTAGCTGAAATATATAAAATTATATAAAATGTCATTTAAGAGAATGTGTTTCTATAATTAATTAAAGGGTATATATGAAAAAAAAAATTAAAAAAAAAAAACTTCTAAAAAGCTAGTCTACATAGCATTTCAAAAAGCTACCTTATAAACTACTTTTTGACTTGCCAAACACGACAACATAAAAAAGATCGAAAAATAAACTAGCTTATCGGCGTGGCACGCCAAACACAACGTAAAAGAAAGAGTTGTCTTGAAGAATGTGATGCATTTACTTCTTGAATGACGTCGGTAGAGAGGGGGGAGGGGGTAAGATGGAGACAATGGGGATGGCATATGAACGGGGTAGTAAGAAGATGTAAACGACAGAAGAAAAAAAACAAATCTGTTTTTTCGAACAAATATCTGATACGAGATGTTTATATTTGTTTGATGTTGCATTTTGAAGAAAAAAATTGGTAAAGAAAAATCGTAGGTTCTTAAGCATATTTGAGTTCTCATTTAATATTAATCTTATATATTTCGAATTAATAGATAATCTGAATATATTAATTTTTCAGAAAATTAATATTAAAATCTGTATGTGAAATTTCGGTTATCTTTGCGTTGAATTTTAAGGATTTTCAAATTCATATAGCTATGGAAACACTTGCCTCGCAAATTTCCTTTTTCAAAAGGTCAATGTGGGACATGTGACGCAATCACTTTATTCCCACATGTACATAGTTGATAAAAGATCCAAAAAAAACAAATAAAAATAAAAAATAAATAAAAAAGACTAGGAGCAGCTTCAAACTGTAGGATCCAAAAGCAAAATAAATTATATTGGTTTCGGTTCTAGTTCTAAATTTGATAGTCTCAGACGAGTTTTGATTCCAAAGACGTAGTCTCAATCCTCACCGCTATTTAGTTTTGTCTTCTACTTGAATATGTGATATGAAATACAAAAAATTTAATGGATTGAATCTTTTGATTGTGTTTTTTTTAAGGTGGTACAATTGATGACTAATCTTATAAATCGGGAACCATGAAATGTAGATTAAACATTTGCATCTCTACGATGGGAGCCTAATTGAGTTATAGAATTCTATACGTCTAAAATACTACTAGTGTTCCATGATTTACATTTTATGTGGGTATGGACGGACTAACTTTAGCTTAATGAAGTTATGTTAATCAATCATGGATTGTAAGACGAAATCATTACCGGATTTGTTTTTTTTTTTTTGAAACGGCAAATATTATTAAAACGAACCCCGCCTAGCAAGTAACTAGCAAGAGGACAAGAGTACGTAAGCAAAGCAAAACACCGAAATTTTAAGTAATGATCTACAAACTTTAAACAATACCGAAATTTTAATGCTAGACCCTAAACAAATTTAATTCTGGATTCTTGATAATATAATAGCCACGTTATGACTTCTTTAAGTTTAACTAACAATTACTATGGCCCCTTGCCCCTTTTATTTTCTTTCCATGTGGTTCCAATGATTATGTGCATTGTGAGGGTGGTCCACTCTTCTTCAATGCCTTCGGTCCTTCCATTGGTTGTGCATGAATAGGGATTTATTGAAAAATCACATCATATTCATATATCATATGGTTGTAGCAATTGTGGTGATGGATATCTTTTGTGGGCCTTTCCCTTTCACCTATCAAAGTTTCAAATCTAGAGACATGTAATATTATTTTTGCATCACGCCATAAAAGGCGGTATATTATTTTAAAATTAAAAACTTCAGTTTTGATCATTTTGGAGAAAAGGGTTAGTTACGACAAATAATAGTATTAGTTACGACTTACAACTTACAACTTACAACTAGAGATGCTCAAATTTTATAGTTGGCTGGGTCTTTAACTGATATTACCTGGGTTTTTTTTGTAAATGGTCATGAGCCTTGTGAGCTTGAGTAAGAAAATTAATAATCAAGCCTTCTAACTGTCTAATATGTTATGTAGCATAAACTTTGCTAATCTATATTTCTAAAAGATTATTTAAGAGGTGTCCGTTTGGGACCGGCATAACATGTCAATCGTTGATTAACCGTATTCGGGTCTATTATAATCAAATTACATTTTAAAGTTACGAGTCGATATCGTGTGACTGGTACAAATTATGGGCGTGTTTGACAAAATTAGCTGATAGCGGGTAGCTTGTAGCGGGTGGCGGGTAGCTTGTAGCGTTTTGTTAAATGCTACATGAAGTAGTATTTGGATTTGGAACGTTTTGTTTAAACTAAACGCTAGAAGCTTGTAGTGTCAAACAAGGTTTTTTGTTTAAAACGGAGCGTTTTGTCAAACGCTAGAAGCTCTCAAACGCTCCCAAAAGCTCCGTGCCGAACACACCCTATATAGCGAAGCCTTATGAGTGTCCATGTGCCCATCTAAGCTCAATGTTTGGTTTTAAACCCTAGTGTCATATACTTAAATTATGACACTCCTTTTTGCCGTTGAGGAAAATAGCAAATTCCACGATTCCCACCAAACATAGGTCGTCCCAAGCCAAGTCTGATTTTGCACCATTTTAATAACATACATAAGGGTTTTTGGAGGTTTGTAAAGCATAAGAGTTCATATTATGAGGTTGAATCATCTCTGGTGGCGGAGCCTCTTGGAGGTTTGTAAAGCCTAATAATTCCAAAGGGGTCCAATTATGGCCCAATAGGCCCAATACTCTAATTTCAGATTCCCAAGTCCAGAATTTTACTTCACAGTGGGCCACGGGGCCCAAAAGTCCATCCCCATTTTCTTAAGGCCCCCAAAAGCCCAAAACATTCATTCTGCATGCGTACGCCCAACGTACGCTGGCCTTGACCAGAACGGGGAGTTGACCTAGTACGCGCGGCGTACCAGGGAGTACGCCCAGCGCACTGGCTAGCTTCTTTGGGACTTCATTCATGACTTAATCTGTTAAGTCTTTACGTCCAAAATGTAGATCCATGTCCTTTAAGACCTCCTAAACCATAAAGTCACGAACTTTATGTGCTTGCATGCAAGGTTGGGGTCAAAACATGATTTTGGTCCTTTTAACAAACTTTAAGACCTATTAACAATTGCATGGTTGTGGCTTAACCATCAAGGTCCGATTTTTATGATTCTTAGTGCCTCTAAGAACCCAAAAGGACAGATATTATGGTCTGAAATCATTAAGATGCAAGAAGCCTCAACAATGGAGTCCAAAAGTAACTTTAAGCACCCCCATAAACAAATCTAAGAATTTAATGGCCAAGGTTGGAACTTGATACCTCAAATAAGTCAGAAATGGTGCTAATCTTCTGGATCTACAAGCTCTTGGTGGATCCTTGCTCCTTCTTCAAGTTCCTTTCTCTTCCAAGGCACCAAACTACACCAAAATACTCTCAAATAGCTCTCAAATCACAAGAACACACAAAAGTAGGCTAGGGTTTTCGTGGAGGCTGTATAAGGGTGAAGGGAGGCTGAACAATCAGGGGTAATGTTCTTTATATAGGGCGTAAACCCTAAATTTTAGGGTTTAAGGAGTTGCACACGTACGTTGGGCGTACTCCTGGTATGTTGGGCGTACGTGCTTGGCCTCCGCATTTCCTTTCCACGAGTACGTTGGGCGTATATGGAAATGTACGCCCCGCGTACGCAGCTTCCTCGGCCCACTAGTTAATAACACCCAAAAATTCAAGCCAAATTTAAACTTTCAAAACATGTCGAATTTATCAAAACATTACAACTTTGTTTTCAAAATACATTTATATCAGAGTTTTCCCAGAAACATAACATAATAGGAGGAGCTGTACGATCATGCCTTCGCCTTTGCCGCGATCCCCTGATGTACCTGAAACAATAAACTGAAACTGTAAGCCCGAAAGCTTAGTGAGTTACCCCCAAAATACCGATACACATACAGTCTACATAACCATGTCACACCATGACATATCATAACAAACTGAGCATAACAGCACATAACGGGTCCACAGCTTTACAGACTGGAATACCCCTGGGCCCACAGTGTGAGTCTGGAATGCCTACCGGGCCCTCAGCTCACATCTGGATTGCCACCGAGCCCTCAGTACGAGTCTGGAATGCCTACCGGGCCCTCAGCTCGTATCTGGAATGCCACCGAGCCCTCAGTACGAGTCTGGAATGCCTACCGGGCCCTCAGCTCGTATCTGGAATGCTCCCAAGTCCTCAGTATGAGTCTGGAATGCCTATCGGGCCCTCAGCTCATATCTGGAATACTCTAGGGTTTGTTGGCTACCGCACGGAGCAGTACAACCTCAACCCATCCCACATAACATATCAACATGTAACAGATAATGCACATGCAGACAATCAATCAGTATCACAGGTAGTCCTACAGACCTACCCTCTAGCGTATCAAACTAGCATGCATAACTAACTCATACTCAACATAATACAACTACTAGGATATCATATCCAATGGGCCGGCCTTGGTGCCTTAGACCCCTTAGTATAGTGAGGATAACTCACCTCGCAACTGTCGTCGGAAATAAGAAGGCTCAACTCCTGGGTCCAACACGAACTCCACCACCTATAGGTACCATACAAACCTTTTTCATAAATCTCCCAATTACCAGAAACCATCAGAAGTCAACTGGTCAACCCTTGGTCCAAGTCAAAGTCCACAGTCAAAGTCAACAGTCTATGTTGACTCGACTCGTCGAGTGCAGATCACCGACTCGTCGAGTCCTTCCTGAACTCGAGAAGTCGTGAAATCCTTGATTGGCTCGTCGAGTTCCCTTTTTAACTCGTCGAGTTCATACGTGGCCAAGATTTGGAAGAAACCCTAGCCAACTCGCTGAGTCTTCTAACAACTCGCCGAGTTCAAGGCAATCTTCAACGAACTCGCCGAGTTGCTCAACCAACTCGCCGAGTTCACGGCTATGTTCATAGGACTCGCCGAGTCCAGCGTTCTACTCGCCGAGTTCATTCAGTCCTTTTTCCATACAGACCTGGTTTGAGCCATGCAGCGGCTCCAAACCACAGATCTAGGCTTCTAGGGCATGCTTATCACGTAAAGTTGCAAACTTTACATGCATGCATAGCTTTAAGGGCTCCAAATGTCAAAACTAAGCTCTTAATGGGGTTCTAAGCTCAAGAGGGACCTCAATCACGAACATAACTGAGACTTTACAACTCTAGAAGGTAATGAGGGTCCAGATCTGAAGTATAGCCCAACCATAAGGTTTCTCTACCAAGGATTTGGGGTTTTAGGGCTTAAAAGCAACAATTTAGGGACAAACAAGATCTAATAGATCAATAATCAAGATGGAAACTTTATTACCAGAATGGGTGACCACAAATGAATGTGTTCTGGATCTAAGTCCCCTTCCTTGAGCTCT